TTTTGGTGGTTAATTTACCTTTAATATCAACTTCAAGATGATAAATAACTTTAATAGAAGTATTTCACTTGCCTGCTGACACAGCTCAATAAGAAACTAAATACCTGTAGTCAGACTTTTCTTTACTTCCTGTTGGTGTCAATCTTTTATTACTTATTTAATACTTGTACATTGGTACTAACAGTATAATATATTACATGTACTTACACAGTCCCTCTCCCTGGCAAGAACTCTCTGACTTAAACTGTACTTGTAATGTGATCCACACTTAAGTACGTACATTAATGTAGAGTATTATCTGTTTGGTCTAAATTTAATGTGGTTTGATTTTACAGATGAGGAAGGTCTTGATGAAATCAGATTTGCAGCCTACCGGACTGCAGCAAAGCTGCTTTTCATCCAGAACAAAACAAACTGTAAGTTATTAAAGATACAATGTGTCTTTTAGTCACTGATTGGTGGAGGTAACGTCTACTTCCTGAAAACTTCAGGGGTAGGTGGATCCATACCACCATGTAAATGAAGTGTCGAATTAAAAAGAAAAGTGAAATAAGTGAAGCGTGGTCAGGACAGTAGCCCATAAATCCCGAGCTTATTCCACTTCCTGTGGCGAAAAGTGACTAGGAGTATAAATTTTTGCTCTCCCTGGATTGAATGTTATTCCATTCCAGGGTTACCTCCAACATGACCTTTGCCAGTACCTATTTATAATACATTTGTTACACCTGGGTTGAGAGAGGCACTGTGAGAGTAAAGCATCTTGCACAGGAACAAAACATAATGACCCTGACCAGGGCTCAAACCCTGACCATTTGATCTGGAGACCGACATACTAACCATTAACCATGGCCACCGCATCTCCACAAATGAAATTTCACAATTTTTAAATTAAATTACAGCTAACCATAAACTCTTATTAACATTTGTTTTTCATGTATAGTGCATTTGGTTGATGTCTACAACATGATTGAAGCATTTCGAGAAAATGGCCTCAACACTCTTGATCACAACACTGAGCTCCATGAAACAAGGCTTGAAGCAATTGTTTCCAGCATTTTCTATGCTTTGAACAAAAGGCTTCCCACAACAAGCTACATTGATGTAGAACGGTCCATAAGTCTGGTGACAAAATGGCTTTTATATGCATTTGACAGGTAAGAATTTAAATAATATGTGAGTTAAAACAGTTTGAATTGACACAGTACATTATTTTAAATACATGTACCAAAAGCAAAGATTTGCACTGCTTCAGTGGTCTCAAAATCTTACTAAAATACTGTAAGCAAGGAACTGAGGGCCTGTGTACAAGAAAGACCCACATGTATTTTTAACCAGCCTGAAGATGGATTGTGTCTCATTCCATGCTAACAGTGACGTGCATGAGAAGAATCATTTTAGAACTGGGAACACCAATTTGCATTGGATTCAGTGCTTGAAAAAAGTGCTCTCTGGTTTTCCGGGTTAGGTAGATTTTCCTGCTGGGCAAGTAACTTTACAATCTCACTTGCTGGATGGGCAAGGGCTCAGGCACTAAACTGTCTAAGACTAGCCCAGGGCAAGCAAAATTTGAGAACTGCTAGTCCAAAAGGGAAGCTGGGATATCAGCTTTAGTAGCTTTGCTGTCTGCAAAATTTGTTTGTTATCTCCCAATCGCTATTTGGATTACAGGGTAATATAATTGGATGGAAATATTTTGTTTATACAATGCAATTTATGATGCTGTTTTTTTTGGTTTTGTTTTCAGTGATGCCATAGGTAGGATTAGGGTTCTGTCAGTGAAGACTGCTCTTTCCACACTCTGTGCTGGACGTCTGGTAGATAAATTGAGATGTAAGTACCTTTTTTGACTAAATCAGCCTATTCAAGGTTTGTGTGTTCTGAAAAATCAAGTGATGTTTGTTATGTTCAGGTTGTATTTGTTTATAACTGCAAGAAATACATGTACGGTACTGCCCAGGGTTGTCATTAAGTTAGTTTTAGACACCTGTAGCCTAATGATCTTCACACTCGTAACAAACTTACCTTACTTTTTGGGTGAATTGTATCAGCTATAGGCAAGTTCACATGTAACATCACCCATCAAACATACTCAGCTGTAGTAGGTGTTATGTGTTGTAGCCCTTATTGACAGCTGTGCTGCATTTTTGGTTGGATTGAGTTAGCTAGAAGGCAATGATAAGTTGTTAATGGTTTTAGTGTGGCTGGGAGATGTTGCATTTAATATTTAGCTCTTATTAACCGAGCGGAAAGTCTGTATGGGAGAATCTTGACCGAGGTTGTGAGTACAGACCAAACGCAGTGAGCTCTGTACACATCACCAAGGTCAAGATTCTCCCATACAGACCGACTAAGCTTTGTTAATAAGATGTTTATTATATGGGAAATAAGCAAAATTCAATTTGTTTTATGCAACTGGTTTGTACTAGCTGACATTTTGCTTCCAAACGGCAATGATCTGAACTTAAATCTGCCAAAGTTTGCTCGTCCTGTTTCCTTTTTTTTTCTGATCAGGCTTTTTGGCACTTCTACTAACATTTTAAGAAGAAAATAGTCAATATTTTTGTATTATAGTTGCAACTTTTTCACTGCAAAATGTAATCAGTCTAGATGCTGGTCTAGATTGGAAAATCTAGACTGGGGTCATTATTGATTTCAACCAATCAAATTCGTGAATTCTGTAGTTCCCAGTCCTTGTGAGACAGCCATATAATAACTGGAATTAGTATCACCCAACTAGTGGACTAATGCAAATCCTGCATTTTGATTGGCTATGCTACTAGGGGACTATTAGTAAAGTCCTCGAGTAGCGAAATTGGCGCCATCGAGCGTGATGCTTTCTTTCGTTTTATTCCCAAATAAATATTTCTTCAACTTGCATTTGCTAACTTTNACATGTACAGTTGGCTCCACATTCTTAACTTTTCAGTAGTGGGAAACAGCAGGAAAAGTCAGCACATTGTATTTGTTCACAGGCCGGGATCTTGGCAAAGCTGCTCTTGAACCTGTAAATAAATGTGGATTGTTACTGCTAGTTCTGTTCTTTGGTTGTGCAAACGTACCCTCCAGGGATGCCTATATGTCAACAAACGTACAGTTTCTAATTTCTTTTGACAGTGGCTATAACACTTACACATGTAATTTAAATTCGTTGATTCCCATAATTATACGTGTAGTGAATTTGGTTTTAATAGGCTGAACCAACTTACAAACATTCTCTCGTTGTTTTCAAGGTACAAGTGTCTTCTTTGTTACAATTATACTCTATGTCAGGTACGTTTCATTTGCTTTGTAACAGCCTCAACCCTGCAGCTCCGCTTTCACACGTGTGTTATGTGTTCTCTACCGCCCAAAAAATGCCAGAGGCATTTTCTTGTATGCGTCAGGTCACGTGAACAACTGGCCCCACGTTTAAACCTGAGGCCAGTCGTTCAAGAACTGGATTTCCCCTTTGCGGACTGGTGGATAGTGGTTTATCCGGTAGGGAGGGTTTATCCATACTTTGAGCACCCAGGGTTTGAGGTGAAGTGACATAAAGGCTGATCAATAGTTTTACTTTACAGGATTGCTTTTGGAGGGGTAAAGCGTCACAAGGACATAAAAATGATCACGATGTTCGAGAATACTCCACTTGGGTGAGTTGATTTAACTTACAAGAGGTTGTACTTGTACAGTCTAGGAGACTTTTGTGGCAAATTGTTTTGTTTTGGTAGTGGGCGGGGCGGGGGGCGGGGAGGGCTTATATTTCGCTGGCCATATGTGAAAAATCAGCCTCAAGAAAGAGTCTTCTTCGTTAGGGGATAAGCATAAGCAACATACATGTACACAGACCCACTGTAGCATCTCTTGTTTCCTAACAAGGTGCTAATAGACCAATTTTGATATATTAAAATTCAGCCTGACACAATAGACCTCAGTACGAGGCTCTGGGGAATAAATACAGAGTTTGTGGGGTTTATTCCCCAGAGCCTCGTTCTGAGGTCTATTGTGTCAGGCTGAATTTTAATATATCGAAATTGGTCTATTGTCAACATCATTACTCTTACTATGCTCGTATGCCAGTGAAAACCAGCCTTCAGAAGTCAAGTTAACAAATTGACGTGAGTTTTTCATGCGTCTGTCCTGTTATTGATCAGGAATTACGTCATAACATTGTCAAAGTAGCTGTGGATCCACGAAGCGATAGCCGAGTGGATCCGCAGACTATTGACAATGAAAATTAGCCAATGAGCGCGCGAGAATTTCTGCAGTTATCGTAAAAGGCTATACATGTTCATGTATAAACAGGCTAAGAAAAAAACAAGTGAACAAACAAGCTGTTGAAATGCTCATGTTTACTAAGGCAGTTGTTTATTTGATCTATGCATGTTCTGTGTGTGGTCGCTGCTTTATTCCAAGTTTCTTTCACTGATTAGTTTAACTTACCATGTTTTTCATGTGCGCGCTTAATTAATCTTTCACTAAAATAGTGTTTTAGTTAAGTTGAACGGAGTTTGTAAGTTCAACAAAAATGATCCATATCAATCAATTCTAAGTTCGAACGTTAACGTTATTTGGTGGTATGGGGGAGAAAACGTTGGTGGTCCTGTTTGTCGGCAACTTGTATTTAGAAATGTTTTGTTCCGCCGTTGCGAGACAAGTAGCTCGAGACGTTGCTTAGCAACACCCTCTGAAATGAACATGTCTCGCTACAGTACGTTTTCGCTGCAGTAAATGTTGTGAAAAGTAGAGCTTGATTCTACTTTATGCAGCGCTTGCTGCAACAAAAACATTGCAAACTGGTTCATTTGAAGGGATGTTACATTACATGTAGGAAATTTTGTTTATTTTATGTTGCGACAAAATTGTGAGAAAAGTTACAGATAAATTCTCTTATCGGCACTTTTAGTATTTGTTTTTGTCGCAATCTCGTAACTGGTATTTGCTTTGTCTTTATTTATGTACATGTAGAATGCTGGTGAGAGAGGGAGCTCTTTCCGAAGTAAGTTTCTCTGCGGAGGTGGAAGAAAGAAACGCCCTTCGCTGCCAGACTTCCCGAAAGAGCCAGAGCCTAGCAAAACGCTGGATGTCACCAACATTGTGTAAGTATTGGCAATTCTCTGTAACTGTAGAACACTAGTCTGTCCCCAGACCCACTATTTTGTTTTGAGTTCGTCGAGATGGCAAGCTTAGCGAAATATTAACTCGACGCGTGGGATGTACGCGCTGAAACGCAAGGGGGAGTTGGGCTTGGGTGAGAAAGTGAACTTCTGTTGACAGACTGGCAGAACACCGACAAAGATATTCTTAGCCTGTGTCACAGCCGCCCCTCCCGAAAGAAAAAAATCGGCGAGACGGTCTCTCCGATTATTTCTTTCGGGGAGGGCTGCAGTAACATCGGCTAAGATACTCTCAACACTTGTTTTTATTTCATAACAACCCAATGGTAAAGGGAACTCGCCTGAGAATTTAATTCTTGTGTTAAGATCGACCACACACTGAGTAAACAGGCTATTGACGTTAAGTTGGTATCCTCTTTGCAGTTGATAAGATGAATCAATCGCTGGTTTAGATACCTTATCAATTGATGCTGATTTTTTTTTTCTCGAGAGAGATATGTCAATCAATAAAACTCGGAAAAGATTTCAGAGTTCTCCCAGCTCAGCGACTGAGCTACAGTAGGCTCTTGGGAGCCAGCCGACATTAACTTAACATCGTCTGAGAAGCATTGCGCTGTTTTGAGAAAATAAATAATTTCTAACGTTTCAAATCCGTTTTGAACAATCTTCTTCCGTCTGACACAACCGTCTGTCGAAAACTCCGCTTCCAAATCACATCTTATTCATTTCTATCCTCTCTCCTTATTTAGCTTCGCGTACGATTTTCTTCGCTGTTCACCGTACGTTTGTTATGGTGCTACAACCGGCTGCAACAGAGTTGAGAAATCTTTCCGAAATTTCGTTCTTCCGAGGAAAACATGCCCTTGAAAAAAATAAACGGATAATTACCCCCCCCAGCCCCCTGTCCTACATTCCCCTCACAGTGATGTTACTTCTAAGTTTGGATGCTAACTCGAAGTTCAGAGAACAACAGCGATACGAATTGTTGGGTAAAATGCCTAAAATGACCGGGCCCTCTTAAGTATCTTGGGACAGTTATTTGTAAATCGTTTCAGATGAGTGAATTTGATGTTTAATTACAAAATTTGTCTGCTTCAGTACGTGATTGTTTTTTTCCCGTTGTTTGGGCCAGGGGACGAGAATGAAAGATTTTTTTGCAAGATCTGACTGTTCAAGATATCATATCTGCTTTGCTTGATTAACCAAATTAAAACCTGCTTTTCCCCGAAAGACACACGCCGATATTTTTCTAGTTTGATCGTCGATTATTTTTTGTTACAGTCTGGTGAATTCTACATTTCCGTGATTGGGCAAAATGTCGTAAATAATTAATCTTGATCTGACAGTGATTTGAACGAAAAAAACAGTCATAAATGATTCATATCAACTTGATATAACGTTATTATTCAGTGTCCTCTGTTACATTGCGTAGTACCATAATACTCGGATTCCACAAGGCCGGAGTTGTTTTTCTGTTGTTTGAAATGGGTTTCACAGCGTACAAATGGGTTTATAGCCTGGTTCGTTTCCGCTGCAACCAGTTTTTTGCGATAAATGACGAATAATTACCAAAGATGAATTCTTGCGGTAGTAGTTCCAGCGGAAGCAGTTCAAGTAGCAAGATTTCAAGTGCTAGTAGTTCTAGCAAGACCAGTTCTTCGAATTGTACCAGTTCTACGAGTTCTACCAGTTCTACGTCAGCCAGCAGTGGGAGTAGCAGTAGTAGTAGTAGTGGTAGCAGTGATTCACATTCGGAAAAGCGGCTTTTTATAACGTTAAAACCCAACGCTAACCAGACGTGCTACATTTTCACCCGTCCTTTGAGAGTTCGCGTTAAAGGTGCTGCTTCAACGTAAGCGAACAGTTTTAATTGAAAATTATTATTATATTCTCTCGCTTTCCTACAAGAGATGCCTTTGTCTGGCCTGTGTGTTGCTTTTGGGTACGAAACGTTTGTTTTCAAAGCGGTTTGCTTTCGTGCCGAAGTTGGCCGCGTTTGATTATGAGTGCCCTGTCTTGTTCGTTATGTTATTTGCAAGCTTTTTGAAATTACGTATTCATCAGAACAACTTTGTGCACACTCAGTTCGGTGAAATATAAGACGATTTCTTTTCCAAGTAGACAATGGTCGAGAACATATTTCTGAATTCCTTACGTGGCAAAACAGCGGTTTTAACTGAAAACAGAATTTACCACTTTCCGTTTTATGTAATTTATTTCCTATTTATAAACACAAACCAAAATACAATTTATTAGCAATTGTTTTGCCTTCAAGCGATACTTTCGCGGCTTTTCTGTTGTTTCGTTTAATGTCGTTTATTTTCTATTTTGTCTGAAGGCATATGATTACAACGTATTTGTCTGGTCATTGTAACGCTTTCGTCTTTGTGGACGTGACAAACATCACCCGACATAATGACACATACAGAAGTTAGGCTATTCGTTTCTCTTCTTCTATGTTTCTGTAAATTGTTGTGTTTTTGTAAACCGATGTTTTGTAATCCTTGCTCAAGTAACACTTTCTGTGAAGTTGCTTTTTTCTTAGTGACTTGATTGATGACGTAACAGACTGCAGTGTTTTTCCCTTAGCCAGTCAGATTTGGCATCCAAACCAGTTGAGATTGGCGTAGGTGATTTTCCTTGGCGCGTTTTATCTGCTGGCCCCGTCAATTGTTGTTATGGCAATAGTCCAGTTCTTTTTACTCGAGCTTGGTGTCAATCATTTTGTATGCCAGAGCATTTTGCAGATAAACAAACAAAAACCTGAAGTAAATAAAGCCTACTGTGTGAAATAAGTTTCTCTCCAGCTTTGACAATTCACAGAATTTTATAGAAGCTTGAATTTTGCCACTTAACGATATATTGACGTGTACATTGTTTTCAAAAAATATATATCTTATTCAACATTGTACTTGTTCATCTATATTATATTTGACACAACTAACACCGAAATTTAAGTCATCGTGTCTTCAAGTTTGCCACTCGAAAATTGTCGATTGTCTGTTGTTGCAAACAGAGATCACGTGTGATACATGATACTTGGTGATGCGTGACACGTGGTGATGTGTGAACGTGGTGATGCGTGATGGCTTCAGAGCTGCAGGGTGGTTACATCTGACATACTGGGTTAGAGCTGGTACATGGCACCTCCATTATAACGCGAAGTTCTAACTTGCAAAAAGATGCATGGCAGCTCCTAAGTTACATTTAACGAAGCCCAATGTAAAGAGCCTTCCACAAACCTCCCTTAGTAACAAAACTCTCGTGTTAACGAATTTCTGATAAAACAAAAAACCCTATAAACTGAACCCAAGTCTTGGACGAAACTTATGATAGTGTAAAATAATATAAATTTTCTTTACGTTGCAGAAGTCTAACCCCTCGGACATTCTTTGGGTTTTCTCTTCTAAATACTCATTTCCTTTTATGTTTGCAGACCTCCGTTACCTTCAGATCTGTCCGGACCCAATCAGTATGTGGATTACGTCTCTAATCCCACTTCTCCCGAGTCAGTGGAGTCCTCCGTCGCCTCATCAAACCCGACCAAAATGGTAGAGGACTTGGACGGAAGGTGAGCAAAATGCTGTTGGTTTTTGTCAAGTCAGGGGTAGGATGAGAATGGAAATCCTGTGTCTGACAAGAGTTTTCGTAACAAACCGTCAAATTCCGACAGGTCCGACATTGACAACGACGCTGATTCGGCCCTCAATGTAGTACACGCCTTAGCTTTCCGCTAAAGTGGCGACCGGCCGAAAGTTGTTATTCTCCGAAAGAAGCGGCAAGAAAAATGAAATCCGAAAGTGACGATGGTCGTTAGTTTCATGCCAATCTTTTTGAAGAACATGCGATATGACATAGTCCGGTGTGCCTTTAGAACTTTCGGAAACGTGTTGGAAATTTTTTCATCAAGATTGGCTTTTAAGTAGATCTTGTATAACGGACTGACTTTAACCTACAACGGGGTCTTCATAATCTGGATGTTGACATTAGAGGGGGCAGAGAGGGATAGTTGTCGACGGTTGAAGTGTTTGGTTTTTTGACCATTGATACATTGAATCCATTGAACCATTACTTTGACATTGAACAGTTCTCATTTAACGGACGTGTAGTTAAAAAAAAGTCCCTCATTTGCTGGTTAAAATCTACAGAAGCAAACGCTCATTTCCGAGAGTGGTTTTCAAATAAATCACTGCCTTAAAATTGAAATCATGGCAAATGCAATCAGCGCGGCTACCTGTGTTGCAATGAACTAATCACAGCACTTGAGCTTAAAGACGGTAACCGTTTCCAAGCGCGGAAAAAATTGGTGAAACTGGAACAGAGTTAGATTCAGCTTACAGCTGATTGGCCAAGTAAGCCTTTTCTCTGATTGGCTTGAGCTCGTTGCACAAGCGCGTGCTCTTATTATAGCAAGCGAAAAATCAAAAGCAAACAACCGCTTGAACTGCTTAGAAAGCCATTGATTCACTAGCGGCACTATATATATTGAAACCACAAAAAGAGCGACTGTCGGAAGTTAATATGAAAATGCATATTGCGAAATGATCATTTGATATTTCACATTTTACATAATTTTTAAAAGAGAAAAGAAATCTTCCGGCCAAGTGAACAGTAAAACGATAATTGAGCGATGTTTTGTCGTTTCTTTTTCCTTCTAATTTAGCGTGAGAGGTTCGCTTCATTTCCTCCATATGGAAATCAAGGACGGCGGATGTGATTCTTTAAAATTTATGAAACGTCTATTTTCATTCATGGCTGTGAGCAATGGGAATTGAGCGACATCTCTGACATGTGTGAAGATCAAAACAATCAAGATTCCAAGAGCGTTTAAGTGAAACGGAGAAATTTGTTCCGTGTGAAAAACACTTGAGAGCATCTGGTTCGAAACATGTAGTTTTGTTGTACAAGTAATCGAGAATATTGTTACAAAAACTGTTCTTTGTTTTAAATTCTTCTGATGTAATTCAACAAAAACCGTGTTAGAGTTGCTGGCTTGTTTTCGTTGTGGCTTGTAATCATTTACGATCGTGAATTTCATCAGATATCTTCGCAGACTTGCGTCTGCGTCGAACACCAATATTGTAGTTCATTATTCAGTGCTAGGTTGTTCTCATTTAGCTATACATGGGAAAAAAGATTTCCCACACACCTTGCAGACATGAATTTATCGTTTTATTGTATGGCGGCGCAGATTCCCCGTGGCGATAATTGGCATAATCTTTTCGATGACGGGCCTCGACCAATGAAACGAACAATGTGTGTTTTCTTTAAGTGAGTGAATTTATTTCTCTTTTCTTGAAAAACTCATTATGGATATGTAGATATGTTTTATTAGCACCTGATCGCCAACGATACTAAGTACACCCAAACACACTCTCGCCTTGAGTAAGTCAAAGAAGCTGAGAGGACAAAGTCTATCGGGTTCAATTCGTCTTGCACGATACAGAGATTTATCAGTATGCCAAACGGTAGCTCCATTCCCAGTTGTCTTGAGCATGCTTTTTTGTTGTCTAATTCCAGAATGGATGATGAGCATAAGCTGATATCAAGATATGCGGCTAGGTAAGTTAATAAAACCCGTGTTTCATGACTGGGTAGAACGCTAAGTGAGGTTTATGAAAACCCATATTTTTGCCCTTTAGCATGTAGTGGGTTGGGTCTTGAGGATGCCTGAGTATCTGCCGGTGAATAACTGCCGTATTCTTTCAGGGAAGCGCGATCAGGAAGATATCACTGCAGTAGGTTCATATATATGGTTATAAGATCTCCAATTTATCTTGCTTTGTGGCTTTGTTTTCTTATTTTCTACCTTTTCTTGCACAGTACTTGTATACCACGGTCGCCTTGCTTTCAAAAACCCTTTCAGTTGATCTTTCTGTTTGCTTCCTCTTCGAACAAGGTTTTGTATACTGAAATTCTTTTTTCTCACCTTACATCAATGCGGATTAATTTCCAAGCTTCGAATTAACAGATTTTTGTCGAGCTTTTTCAGGGCAGGCCTGAAATAATTAATCTTCATCGCTTTTGTCGGACACTTTCTTAATGCTAGGTTCTAGAATGTGTTTTTATTTTAGGAATATTTTTAAGCTGGGAGGGTTTGTTTTTTACCTCGTCTCTTTGTGAATTAATATCTTCTTTTTCCCTTCTCACCCAATCTCGCTTTGTGAAATTATTTTGTCTTGTTTTGATGTACGATGAAATTCTCATAATTGATATTGAAAGAAATGTGTGAATCGCTAGGAGAATTTATATCTGAAGCTTGATGTTGAGGTGTGTGTTAAATAAGCGCATTTTTTAATCTAGGCGAAATCGCACCGACTGAGGCCAATTGTTGTGTTTTTCGCTAGGAAAGCATATTGCGCGCTTTCCGTAATTTTAATACATCAATTTCCTTCAAGAAAGGAAATAAAACGTTTGCATGTTTTTGCATGATTTTCTCAATAAAATAAACGACGCACTTCACAATGCTACAAATTATTTTCACATCGATGTGAAATTGGTCGCGTCGCGCCATGGTGATTTCGGAATGATTCAGTGTTAATGAAAAAGAGGTAATTTCTCTAATGTATTCTCAACCAACCACAGATTTCGATTTGAATACACCGTCTCTTCGCTAATGAACTTTTGAAAACGAATACAACTAAAACACATCATTTGGGATCATGATTTTACTTTCAATAGTGGCTTGCTCATTAAGTCATGACTCGAATTTGTTGACTCGACGGGTATATTTTGACCGCTGTGTGTAGATTTTTTCCTCATCAATTACGGACATCCTCAAGAATCAAACCGCCAATGTTTTTTTGGTTACATTCCGTGGTTTTTGCGTTAAACTGCAGCTGGGAAATTCCCTTACCTCGCGGCTTCATGTACGTTTTTCTCGCAGTCTTTACTTTACCCATGCAGCGAAAGCGCCAAAATAATATTACTTTATCCGCAGCTTTTCTTAATAAATGTAATTTTCCCACCTGGCGCTTGAATCAGGAAAAAAAAAATAGTCTCTCTTAGTGTCGCCGGCTCTAATTTATTGCTTTTATGCAGCGTTCTGTTCTTTACTTATCTAACCATATGTCTTTATCTTTTTGTATTTTGCTCACAAATGAACAGGCTTGCGGCGAATTCGGTAAGTATGCAATAATCCTGTGTAGTCATAATTTGCTGATAAAAAAAGTAAAGAAAAGAAAAGAAAATTCTCTCTATCTTTTCACGAACAGTAGAAGTCGATTTGCGGTAGATAAAGCACACATCAATTTGATAATTTCTCAGGTGCTGATTGTGTGAATAGAAAACCTTAATTAAATTTAGAAATCTTTTTATGTGTAGTTTTATTACACTTGTCAGTGTGATTATTCAGAAAACGCTGACTGTGTAAATAGTGCTCTTTATTAAATTTAGAAATTTTAATATTTTGCTTTTACTATCCGTTTGAACCCAAAATTACCAACGGGCTTTGCCTAACAGAAACTGAAACTGAGAATAAAGATCAAATAGCCAAAGAATACTATCCTGATCAAACAGCAATTTCTCTGAACTAGCAGTGAAAGAAGTGTTTAAAACCCGAAAGGAGAATTGAAAGCGGCATCCTGAATACGTTTCCGCTGTGGTTATCGATATTTGGTCTTTTTGTCACAAATCAAACTTTCATCTCCCAAGTTACGTTATTAATTTTTGGGTAATTTAATTACTGTAAAATATTAAGTGACTGGCAAGAAGGCATTTTGCCGATAATTCCTTAATAAATGAATCAAGACTAGATGTCAAGGGGATTCTTTCATACGAGTTAATACGCACGGTGTACAAGAGATGAAACGCGTTCCAAACAGATTGGTGCCACCTTCAGAGCGGTTTTCACTTGAGTGTCGAAAAGTAATTGGTTTTGCATCAACTACGCTTCATGATTGGCTTAAAAAACTCGCGCCACTTTTTCATCCAATCACAAGTAAAACCAAAACCAATCGTGACTTGCTCGCACTCGTTTTCCCGCGCTTTTCGTCAGCTGCATGCAATTACTTTGAGTTTTGGTTGTTTCACTTGGTTGTCTGTGTACTTTGTGATTGGCCTGTATACACCTAAGTTTCAAAATGTAGATTCCTCCTACAGGTCTTTAAACATTTCGTATTGCGTTGGTTGGAAGAACTTGGTAACTAATCATGGCAATTTCTTTGCTTTTAGCGCCAGAAACCTGCTAATAAGGTGAGCAAGTCACCGAGTCAGTCGAGCATTGACGCCAACAGGGAACAGAGAGAGCTGATGCAGACTCTCCAAAACAAAAACAGGTGCCTGTCTATCTTGAATCTGTTTAGGACACATAGGGGTACACCATTTGACTCTCAAGGGGACGGGGTGGGGGGGATTTTGAAAGAAAAAGAAAATCCTGCAAGCATACTTGTCCAAAAAAACAAAAATTGCATGCACACGACACCTGCCGAAAAATAGAAACATTCACGCACGCTCAGTGAGCCAAAAAAAGCAGGTTGCGCGGAGAAAAAAGTATTATGCATACACAGGTCGCGAGAAAAAAAAAAATTAGGGTTAAATGGTTAAAAGGAAGTTCATGCCTATACCAAATAACCCCCCTCCCTCAAAAGTTTAATTGAACACCCCTGAGTTTCGTATCCCTGGGAATACAAAACCTCTCTGGTATATTCAAAGCCCATGGTATCCTATGGCAGTCGTCTATGGCCCATATTTAGGCTTATAATAAGGGTTATGTGCGCATTACGAACCTATGAAATGATAAAAGCGCTTCATCGTGGCATGCATGGTCCTAAACTTTAGGCATAAGGAAAGTTAACCAACAAAGCTACAACGCTACAAAGCCATCAACGTAGTAATCGAGCAACCAACGTTTCTGGCAAAGTTCACACGGGTAATTGAAACCACTCGTTTTGCGACTCGGAAAAAAATGGTCAAAATACCGCTCTCGCCTAAAAAAATTGTCGTTGTTGTTCAACAGGCTTCTTCTGAAAGAAATTCGACGCCTGCGCGATGAACATGAGGAGACATCGAGGTCAGCGGCTCAGATCGCTCAAAACCCTCAACTACTGGCCGAACTCAAGTTGCTAAGGCAACGAAAAGATGAATTAGAATTGCGCATGTCTGCACTGCAAGAGAGTCGCCGAGAACTGATGGTACAGCTGGAAGGACTCATGAACCTGCTCAAAGTAAGTTGCGCTTGTATTAACTGCTCGAGATAGGGCCGTTTCCGTTAATGTATATTTAAGACGTTTAGTCAGGCAAGTGTCCTATTAAATTGTGATTATGTCACGTACATGGGGTGAAATATCTTCTACAAGTTGTTTAACACTTCAGGGGATGCACAAGACATGCTAAAAAGGCTTATAATGCTCTGGCCACCTTTTGTTCTCTTGGATAGTTTAGAGATTGCCATGAAATGAACATTGTCGAGTCTCAGGTTTTCTTCAGTTACAAGTTTTCATTGCTTAAGATGTCTGCCGGTGACCTGATCACGTTGAGTTCACTTTTAAAGGTGACTTCTTTTGAAAACCTTCTTGGAAGTATTTCTGTTTTCTTAAGAGTTTAATTTATTGATTTACGTCATGTTTAAAGCACACACACGGTTTTGTTGAAACGATCACTTCCGAGCATTGTATAGGCTAGTGTTGTATTGGAATAGCCGTGCCTGTATTCCGCTCCGAAAGACTTCGCCGCCGCTATTTGGCCTCTCACGTGACGCAGCTCTCCAGAAACGTTGCGTGATGATCGAAGTCATGACGGTGAATGATTCCATAGAACACGTCGTCACATAAGCATTGAGAACTGRRCGGCAATACAAGAGTCAGCTCCGTCAGTTTTCAGTCAGTTTCGGAGAATTCGTTSGTCAATATTGCATTCTTTACTAAACCGCATCTGCCGATCAAGAATCGGACTCCAAAGCCATCTCAGAAAATGTTTAAGGAAATGTACAATTACTAACACACGCTAAAATTATGGACTAGATTGTCCGATAATGCCAATACAATATACATACTAACTCACTTGATGTTCATCCTTATCACTTGTCCACGTGATGTGTGATATTGTGGTGAGAATTAACAGGTCAATCAGCCTAAGGAGTTTTGACCAAAGCGTGTTCGCTTATTCACCTTTCGGAAGCACTTCGTTTTGGTCTTAGTGCGTAGTTGTTGGCATTCTCAAAATCGTTCAGTTATTGTTCGTGTGGACTTGTTATGATGTAAATCATTTAGTGTCTGTGCATGTCAGCAGCTGCTGTTACGGGTGATCTAGATCGTGCGGGTTTTGCGGAAAACTTACACTGTCCGTTGGCATTCGGGATGCACACCTTTGCTGGTGTATTTAGAGTGCCATTGCCTTTTTGAATAATCACGCTTTTTATTGGCTTGCAAAGTGGTCACGCTTTTTGGCCGCTTTCGGAATGGTCACGCTTTCCTGTGATGTGCAGTATAGTCACGCTCTCTGCGGGCTTGTGGCAATTGTTGGATAGTCACGCGATTCATTTGGTGTTGGGGCAGTCGCGCTTTTTTAAACTTGGGAAGCATTATCGTTGAATTGTCACGCTTTTCCTCGGCTCGCTGAATAGTCACGCGTTTCACTAGACGTTGTTGTAAGGGGATGGTAAAAAATATCTTTATAACATCCGTGAAAAAGGCCAAAAAATTGTCTTCACAGCATCAGGAAAAATGGCAAGGAAAAACGTGGCTTGACTTGAAACAGAAAAGACGAACCAAACGAATGCTATTGAACCTTGTGAGACAGTGAATAATTTGAACACTACAATGTAATGGGTGTCAATATATTTATTGGTCAATTGAATTAATTAAAATGATTTATTCCATTACTATGAAAAGGAGGTATTTAAAGTTACATGTACATGTTGTCAAAAACGAGGAAATGGAAGAATTTCTCAAACTTGGTAACTTTTGGAGAGATCAGGAGCCAGATTTACGGAGCTCTCTTGGGGCAAGATGTATCCTAAGCATTGTTTAAACACAATTTTTGAGCCTTTTGTTAGGGAACTATTCTTAGATGCATCTGATCTCAGGAGGGCTTCGTAAATCAGACTCGTGGCGTGGTTTGTTAACTATAAGGCCTAGTTCACACCAGCGAGATAACGACGGGGGTTGGGGTGGGTGGGGGGAGGGGTGGGGTGGATATCTAAGTGTGTCGTTTTGCTTCCTTGTTAATCCAGGTGACTGTTTTCGGTGTGGGTTTGTACTTTTACTTGTACAAACCACACCAAGATATCGAAAATCTTGTTAATACTGTAAACGGAGACTGAACAAAGTGGATTAACGAAATACACCTTATAAAGGCAGTTATTTGCCATACCCAAATCACAGTTGCTTTGTTTTGGCTAGATTTGGAAGGGAAGATTTGAAGCAAGAAAGTAAAACAGTATTTGTCTTGGTTGTGTTGTGTTCCTACGTTTGCATCCAGCCTACTGCTTTTGTTTTACTTTTATTTCTAGTTAAAAGTCAGAAACACTTTGAAACATTTTACTTAAAATTGGCGAAACGTTGAGAGAAATATCTGCAAAATTTGTACAGCTCATGCTTTTGTTTTTATTAATCCACTTTGTTCTGTCTCTTGCAGGCAGAAAACATCTGAACTCAAGACAAGAAGATGTTCAGTTTTAACTGTTGAATAATTTTAAGGGCCTGTTTTAGAAGATCAATGTATGTGAAACCGTTGCTTGGGTCGTCACGTAACACTGCGTTGCGTGACGACGCAAGCGACCAGCTGCTATGCGTCTGTCCCCAATCCTGCTTGTGACACCCCTCGCTGCTAAAAGCGTGGGTTGTGATTGCTGATGTTCGTTTAAAAGTCGATTAGGACAGGGATAAAAGCGAAGTTTCTGTATGAGGTAACCTACGTTTTGTTACAATTTAATCATGGTTTACTTTGAAAAAGTATTATGAAAATGATAAATAATTGAGGAAAAATCAAGATCGCAAATTAATGTTTAATCAGTTTGCAATGAAATCTCCTATGCAGCCGTTATTTGGGTCGCCACTGTATAGAACTAGGCTGAAGTAGGTCATGTCGCTAAAGCAACTGAAAACATTGCTTTAGAAAGGTAGACTTAATGTCTTATAAGTGACTATTGTCCAGAGTTCGTGTACTAACTCTCGTTTTAAGCCGACATAGGTAATTGACCTGTGGTTCCTCTCTCTCCCCTCCCCCAAGAAAAATAAGTTGAATTGTAAGCGTTAACATTTTAAGCAAAATTAACTGTTTCTTGTAACATTTTCGATGCCGGCCAGATTTACTCGATATATTGGTGTACACTATAATTGTGTATTGGAGCTTTTTTATCATTTCGTTTCAAATGGAATTTTTTTTAGTTCGCCTTTTGTATTATAACTTAACATTACAAGATGGTTACGCCTCATTGTGTAATAATACTAAGTTAAAATGTCACCCACTCTGTGTGGATTTATAAGGTTAAGCCAGAGTATATAAATGAATTGTAAAGGAATATTGCCACGCGACCATCGAAATTTGGTCACGTGATTTATAAAGAAATCAAATAATATTGTTTTTTTTTGGCGTCGTGTTCGCCAAGGAAACCGACAAATTGTTATTTTTTATTGTTTTGTAATTATCATCAGAGTTAAGGTTAAGAGGGATAGTTTCGCTCCATGTATTTTTTGGAGATTGAACTAAAATAGTATCTTGAATTTTTTTTTAATAGAATCTTTTCCACAATGAAATTGTGTTTTGTTATCAGGACAGTGATAGTTAATATGCTATTCTTTTGGCAATGATAAATATACAAATTATGAGGATACTGGGTAGAATATGATATACAGATATTATCGTGTTAATATGAATCGCTAAATTTATGTCAAGACAAATAACAGCTTGTTAAAAATCTTCTCGGAAAAAGTAATGCAGGTAAATGTTGGCAGGGCGAGCGAAGCAAAGTACAGTCGAGGAACAAGTACCGTCTTAGCGAATTTTCGTTGAAGTTTCGACAAATTTCCGATCGTTATTGTCCAATCAAAACATAGCACGAGCAATCCGAAAGTTGTCACGTCAGCTCGTAGTCTGTTTGGTTTGATTCTGTTCGGATGGGTCAAATTTAGTTTGGGTTAGTTCGGCTGTACTCGAGAGGTTTGGGCTAGTTCGGATCTGTTCGGATGGATTTGGTCAAGTACAGCATATTTCGGTCCTACTCGGTTTGACTCGGTTCAAAGTGGTTTTGTTTGAATGCTAAACGGTGACCTGATTCCTCGACTGGCCAAAGCAAGGAAACCGCACCATACAGACTGGAAAAACAAGCTGAGCATGGTTTATATAAGCGTTAGTTTCAGCGCCTTTACATCTAAAGTGAATTGAATAGTACATTTAGATGTTATCAAACGCTTTCTCTCTAGGTTAAGAGAAATAAATGGAAACAACAAAATGTTGTTCGTGACGTGAGCGTAGTTATACGTTATGCTTGAAAGATGTCATTTTGACGTTCTCTTTCTTAAAGATCTTTTATAAATGCCTGCGAAAGGGATGACCTCTCTTTTTCTCTCCCAGACCCCGCTCGTCGCCCGCCTGCTTTTTCGATCGTCCCCACCGACCGAGAGCCTGGAGCAGGCTAGTTTGTGTTCAATTTCGTTTTGGATTCTGAAAATTCAGCGGGATATGCAGAATCAAAATGTAGTTGTGTGACTTTAAGCAACTGGTTAAAGTGTTTAGTCTCGATGGTGAATCGTCATGGCATCGGTTGGAAGTGTGTGAATTGTCTGTGCTTGAACAGCGACTCAAGAGTCCTCCAGTTTGGCTAGACGGTGTTTTACGATCCTTTATTATTGCTTGTTTGTGTGGGAGTGCTGTCAAACTTCTCACTCCACACTATAATTAGAACAGTATTTCTAAAGGCCACATCATCAGGCAGTAGTATTTGTATGCGTTTCCTAATTTTGTGCTTGACATTATTATACTAAGAATGTGGTAATTATAATCTGTTTGTCTAGGAAAGGTCAGTTCGTTTCCTGTTTTGTTCACTAAAAATAATGCAAAGCCCATATTAAGCTCCGGTTAAGTTCAATACACCAACTGTTAAGACAGCAAAGTTTTTTGCACCAATTGGTTGATAACTTTTGTTTGAATAGTTTTCACTGACCTTGCACATGAAAGTACCTTTAAGTAGCTTTTAGATGAAGGACTGTGATCAGCGAGTCACTGAAAAATTAGAAATTTATCTAGTGCCACCTGAAAGTGCTGCTCAGTTGCTTTCACAATATGGTTTCCTGTTCGAGTCAAGAGTTAGAAATGCCTTTTACAAGTGCCACCTTAAAGTACTGCTCAGTTGCTTTCAGTTTTATTGTCACACGATATGGCTTCTACGAAGCGTCAATGGAGGGAAATGGTTAAGAAGCACGGTAAACATCAAAGAAGCAAAGAAACAGGCTAAAATTTATGTTGAAGGTCCTTGACACTGCACATCTCTTGTCTATACTCGTAGACTATGCATGAATTACATAACTGC